TTCATATATTAAATCTATTACTTCTTTATATTTCTTTATTTCTTTGTCAAGTTATATCATTTCTAAATTCTTTATTTCTTCAAGACTACTTATAAATTATCTTGAATTTAACAAGTTAATAATTACTAAAAAAGACATTAATTTTAGTAGTTTTAATCTTTTTTTTGTAGGAAATAAAACAAAGAATAACATAGGGTAACAATGATAATTGTTAAGTTGAATTATTAACAGATGTAAAAGTAATTAATTTATTAAATGGACACACAAAATGCATGAGTTAAATGAAACAAAAATAATAACTAGAACAAATACAAAGAACTATACACAAAATAGTGACACATAACAATCTAATAACAACAAAAATAATAAAATAAATATATAAATTTAAATCTATTAATTATTATTAATATTTAATGAAATAATAAACATTTCTCAAAGAAAGAAGAAAACAATTAATAAAAAAAAAAATATTTTTTTGTTATTAACAACACCCACCTTGAGATGCTGTTGGAGAATTAGAATTTGAAGACTGATGAACTCTCACTGGTGCTTTTGCAGGAGGTGGTTTGTTAACGATTTCTGGTTGCTTGACTAACACATCTCTAGCCAATGTAGTAAAAAGATCAGTAACATTCGTATTAGTTTTGGCTGAAGTTTCTATAAAAAGTAAATCATTTTTATCAGCAAGTTGTTTCATTTCATCAGTAGTGACAGTACGATTTTCTGAATCAATTTTATTACCACAAAGAATAGCAGAATATTTAGAATCTGATTTTGTTTTTAAGTCATTAATCCAAAAACTAATTTCTATTTTCATTTAATAACTTTAAAAAATAAAAGAATATTTTCAAACAAACGTTCAAATGATGTTCTTAAAGTAACATCAACAACAAAAATAACACCACAAACACCTCTATAATGTTGAGGTATTATAGTTCTAAATCTTTCTTGACCTGCAGTATCCCAAATTTGAGAGACTATATGAGTACCATCAACAATAAATTCTTTCTTTTTAAAATCTACTCCAACAGTTGAAACAAAAACAGGGGTGAATAAATTATCAACGTATTGAGCAATAAGCGAAGTTTTACCAACTCCACTTTCCCCAAGAACAATAAATTTCATGTCAGCATGTTTAGAAGAAGTTCCTTGATGAAAAGATTTTCTTCCATTTGGAGGAGCTACACCACCTTTTTTTTGAATATTTAATATTTCAACAGCAGCTATTTGTTGTTTCCAGTCTTTTTGTAACTGTTGTTGGTCTTTTTGACTAATTCCAGAATTTCTATTTAAACGAACAATTTTTTTTGGTTCTTCAATAGTTTTTTGTTCTTCTTTTTTTTCAAGTTTATTTGGAGTAATTTGTTCTGACTCAGCTTTATTTATTATATTAGTTTTTTCTTCTGGTTTTGTGAGAACTTTTGGTTTAGGTTTAGAAATTGAGGTTCTTATTCCTTGTTTAGTTTCTGATGATGGTTGTTTTTGAGTGTTTTCTTCTTTTGTTAGGCCAACAGCAGATATAGTCTTTTGTTTATTTTTTAATTTCTCTTCTCGTAACTTACGTTTCCTATTCCGGTTCGTTCTGAGTTGTCATGAGAATCTTAAAACACTTTCTAAGTTCAAATTAAATTGTTTCTATTTATTAGATGATAGAAATTGAAATTGATAAAAATAAATTACTATTTAATTTTAAAATAGAACTAGAATTAAAAAAAAAAACTTTAAAAATAAAATTTAAAAAATGGTTTGAAACTTCCTTTCTTCTTTCTTTAATATAT